TACGAATCAGAATTTATTGTTTGATAGAATTCTGGAGTGCCTTGAATACTATGTAGGTAGTGGAAGCCAGATTTGATTTGATTTGATGTGAATTGTGATATGGTCTAAATCAATTATGATATCTGCTCATTCAAAAGATAAGACGGGAGTTTCAATTATAAAACACGGCATCAAATGTGGCAAAGTTTTTGGCATATTTTTTCTAGGTCCATGATGGGGTCGTGGTATGCTGATGACTATGCGTATTTGGTAGGTAGTCACTGTGCGTCCAAAAGTAATACCTACCTACTTAACCTTATTGGAGTGATTACCAACACGTAAAACATTTCAATCAATGACAATGTAAACTCATGTAGATGGGAATTTCCATCGCTCGATGTCCGTGAGGTTTTTTCGTTTCCATTTGCTATCAGCCCAGCCCCCTTTGTTTGATTGTCGGAACTCTATATGAATTTGTAGATAGTCGATCATGTGAATATAACTAGGAGTCTTGATAATGACTAGGTATCGTAGACATTACTGGGTGGGCTGGGTGTGGTTCATGTAGATGACGTCATGAAGTTGAGTTCTAGCTAACGATCTCAATACTCGATGATTTGATATATAATGCGCTTAGAATTCGTAGTATTTGGATTGGTTGTGTGCTTTTATTGGAAGATATATCTAGTGGGCATAATCATTTCTAGTCAATAGCAATAATTAAGAAGTACAGTAAGCCCTCTCCTGCTTGGTAGCAAAGTACTTTCGAGTCTGACAGTTGATTTTAACTAAATGGCTGTCGCCTTTCTTTGGACCACGAAATGTGGAATATAATACAATAGCACCAGGTCTAACGCGCCTTCCCTAAGCTATATCTATTCAATTACCAACTACGGGCCATTTGATGAGGAGTGTCATGGGATCAATTCGTTCAAGGGGTTTGTTTTAAGCCGTAGTTAGGGTACTTCCGAAAACCTAATCATTGACTAAGGATTTACTAGACTCAATACTAGGTGCTCTTCGACACTCAACCATATACTATCCAAAAAAACACTTTCAATACAAAAGCTTTTGATATCTGTCAAACTTAATCATTCATTGAAGGAGTACCAATCCGACTCCAGTCGAAAAGTATAGCACAGGTGTAGCAGCTGTCCATGAGCTCTGGATGGTCAATCGATAGAAATATAATCGAATGATGGAGTGGCAAGCTCGTATGCTTGATGTAGTCGAACGATGTATTAGATATCTTGTATTACTCACTATAAATAATGACCAATTGAACACCTGAACTGACTTGGGATATTGAAGAGAGCTATGAGGCCTGGATATATATCTGTGACACGTGAATGATTTCCATTGAAAACGCCAACCAGTCTAGACATCTGATTTCATATCACTATTTCATACCTAATTTGTTCGAATCAGAGCATCTCGAGGAAATATACATGTCAACGCGGAGTTCATTATCCGTGGAGATGATTATTTACATGTATAAGAGAATGACGCTCCGCTGGCCCCCTGGGAGCCACTGCCGTGGAGGCAGAACAGATACTTGATCGGATAGAATGACCATCCAGATGTTCAACCCCTAAAGTATTATTTGATTGTCTAATCCGAGTTGATTGGGATATTGGAAAGAGCTACCCTATGCCAACTGCTAATAAATTGGAATGCAACATGTTTCCCATTGGATAGAGTGCGTATAGATATCTAGTTCCAAAGCACTATTTCATTGTCCAATTCCAGATTCCAAATCAGACATTGAGAAGAACTACCTAGGTATGGTGTAGATGATGTAAATGATATGTGAATAGCTCGTTGTCATGTGCTTAGTATATGATCAATTCCTAATTCGGTTAGACCAAGATATTTAGTGGGCGATAGTCAAAATCGGTAGCGCACAGGGATTTCTATAATACTCGTCTTCCGCCCGGTCCCTCTTACAACCTCTTGTCGCGTTCTGATTGTTTACTTTTGTTCCAAAACATTAAAATCTGTAAAATTTGTACATTGTACCTTCTCAACAATCAATTAATTTACGACATGGCTCGCAATAACTATGAGGATACTTTATCCTCCATCTCGAGTTCTCAAAATCTCCCGCAACGACCCAAGAGTCGATTCCAATCAAATCATTCCATCACTTCCTCCTCATCTTCTCGTGATCTCAATTTGAATTCAACAAATACTCAACACCATACCGTCAGCGACGACAGTCATAACACTCTCAACTACTTCGACCCCGATGACTCCGCAGAGCAATGCTTCATGTCTACTGAATTGGATATCGAAAGATTGAAGCGTAAACAAACCCAGCGCCCGGATATTGATATTCGCGATACCGCAAAAAAATACAATCGATGGAGCCCAAGAAGAGAACCCGAAATATCTGCCAATATTGTGGATCTCAACCAATTTTTCGAAGACTTCACAGGAGGATCTTCTCAAATTAATGGAACAAATAACAGTTCTAGATTGGCATCGAAACTTCAAAGATTGGACAGATTGGACCAAGATCATACACCTTGCCGAATTCCAAAATCGAAAATGTCTGAACGATCAAATTCAGTCTCGAAAAACAACTCCAAAATGAACACTAGAGCAGCACCCGAGTATGTTCAACCTGCAAATACACCAAGACGAGTTGTCAAGAATACACTCGATGACCACGAATTTTCCTTGGATCTATCACATCCAATCCATAACAAGGAGAATATTCTACCTAAACAACGAACACATATCTCAGCAAGCTCCCAGCATGAGAAGATTGCTCAAGCTGATTACAATGAAAGACAAGTTCTTGCAGAGCTCGAAACCCTTATCAAGGACCATCCAGCAAACGCATCTATCAAATCTGGCAGATTTGCTAAAGCTACCAGCCCCACATTCACAATGTCTACAACGGTTAATAACTCATTCGCAATTCCGGAAGTCCAAAACATCACCAAGTTGGTAGACACCACATCGACTTCATTACTTAGAAAGATTGAAATTCTTGAACAACCCGCCCATCCAATGGGAAAAGAGGAGGTCGACATTTATCGCTCCATTGACGAACTGCAACAGCAAGTGTCCATATTGTTGAATGAGCGAAAGGAGCGCGATTTTGTTATAAACTCTCTCCAGAAGGAAAGAAGGGAGCGGGATTCTATTATGTCTTCTCTTCAGAAAGAACTGAACGAGAAGAGCGAGCAAGATAATATCATATCTACTCTTCGCAACGAAAAAAAGGCACAAGACGCCATCATATCCACCCTTCGGAACGAAAAAAGAGCACAAGATGAAGTCATATTCAACCTTGAAGACGAAAAACGCGCACACGATGCAATTACAACTACTCTTCGCACACAGAACAATCACATGAACGAGACCATCCGAGAACTCGAGCGTGATGCCCACACACAGCGTCAAGAAAATGAGCAGATGATGAAGTCCATCTCTAACGTCGAGGCTCTGGCGAGATCCCATCAGACCGAGAAGAAGGCAATGGAAAAGGCGTTGGCCGAAATGTCTTCCTCTAATGAGGAACTTAAGGCCGATATTGAGAATATCTCAAAGCAACGGGATATGGTTCTTGCTCGTTACAAGAACCTTGTCGAGCGGTTCGACACTTTACAGCATTCAGAATCAGCTGAGACACCACAACGTCCAGTAGAGGCTGAGATATCGCAACCCAAGGAACATGACAACACTGAAGCACCACCAAATCAATCACCTAAGACGAATGAGACACTGAATGGGCAGGAGAAGAAGGTCCAGCATGCTGATGAAGAGGAGGAAGAAGGTTACGATGAAGCTGACATGACCATACGTCCGACCATGGAGCCTCAACTTGCGCTGGAGCAGATCATGGCAAACGTACGCAAACAAATTGAGCAATTGAGTGCTCAACATGCGGCTAAATCGGCTGAATTACGTACTTTGGATAAGAGCAAGAATCTGAGATTGAGAAGATCACTTGCGGAATCCTTAAAGTTGCTTGTCGATCAGATTTCTTCACACAGCGATTTTCTATATCGTTTGAAGGATGTTTCTTATGCATTCTAATTCGAGAGAAGAAGGGAGGATGGATTAAAGTGTTGGATTAAATGTTTATAATGGAGTTTGGGGTATCAAATGGTATCCGGCATGGAACTTGGTGTTTTTCTTGTTTTTGCTCTTCTTTTGCTTGTTTTATATTCAATGGAGTAGTATGAAACACCACTGGGCTCCGAATGAGAGCTTTTTCTCGTCTTCTTTTTCTTGTACTTGTTATTTTTGGACAGGAGTTTTCAAGGAATAGGATAATGGAGTAGTGTGTTGAGATTTTTTGTTTTTGAAGGAGTTATTTCAGGAAAATTCAGTATCGATACCACATCACGAGGGACTTGGGTTTAAAATGGGACAAACGGATTACAATTAGCATTGTTAGTATAGGAATAACAATGAACATTAAAATGAATGAATAATCTTGCCAGCCGTATGAGGTGACCTATTTTGTAAATCTTTGAATCTCAGCCCGAATGGTCCATGTGTTTAGAGGCAAGCAGAGTAGTGCGGATGCATATAGACATTCGATTTCGTTGAACCCAGTATTCAAGGATGAGCTTGCTCACACTAAGATTAAAAAACCAGCGATGGGATATTGAACTATATAGCAACTTGACGGATGGGTAAGATAGGTGGGAGGGGATTTGAGGATTTGGAGAAAGAGAGGTTGGTGAGAGGGTGTTGATTCGATGAGATGGTATGGGTGGGATGGATGGAATAGGGATATACATTTATTCTGGAATTGATGAGTACTTAGCTTGCCCCCTTGTTACTAGCGAGTCGACATGAGAGCATACATGGAGTCTAGGGAAGACAAGAAGAAATAGGAGTATGGAAGAACTATTACGTATGATGTTCGACCAGATATTCATAAAGCAACTTCATGTATTATGGATAATCCTCTACAGGCAATTCAGAGCTCGTAGAATTCAGAGCTCGTAAGCAAGAAGCAAAATATACAATACAATTCCAGGGGGTATCAAAATTCTTCAAACAGCCTTCTTTCCCTCTAACGCCAAAGCAGCCCGTTCCATAAATGCATTGAATGCCTTGATCTGTTTGAGAACACCTCCATCATCACTTGCACTGCTTGCTTCGGAAGCGATTCGCTTCAACATGAGCTCTCTATTTGATTTCCCGTCATCCGTGTTATCGGAAGAAGATTTTCCTCGCTCAATTGCAAGTTCGATATCATGAACTGTGGTGTTGAGGACTTCCCGTTGCTGTGATGTGAGGTTAGTGGAAGGTCGTTTTGACGTGACGAGAGCATTACCTGAGCATCATGAGAGTTTTTCTCGTGAGCAATTCGGATCTCATCCATACGTAGAGCGATCTTCTCTCGTTTTGCTCTTACAAGAAGGATTTCCTCTCGTAGAGAGAGCTTCTTTTTCTGGGCCTCACGTAGACGTTTCTCAAGAGAGTACGAGTTGTCGAGGTTGATTGTCTTGGGAGACATTAGCGCAGAAGGCAATTATCAGTAGTCGAGTACTTACATGTTCTAAAAGGCGGACTCTCAATTCTTTACCAAAACTATCTACAGCTCGCATCTTTGTTTTGTATTCAAGTCTTTGAGCAGCGTCCTGAGTTTTTTCAGCATTATCCCCAAGAGTTTCTAAACCAGCAGTGACTAGCTCTTGACAAATTTGGCCAAGAACATCCACAGCATTGACGCCTGCTCTTGTCACACATGGTATTTCGGAATTCAGAATCTCAGCATCCGAATCATCATCATCATACACAGGACCTTTTGTTAAACGATGTACAGTAACAGGGATCGGACTTCCTTCGCGAACCTTCTGTTTCTTGTTCTTTTTCTCCATCCCTTGAGGTTTGGATTTCGGAGGTGCTGGTTGGCGTTGCTGTACTGGACTAGTCACTGGTCGAACTTTGCCTCGCTTTTTCTTTGCAATGGGAGATCTAGGAGGTGCAGCATCTTCTGGGATAGATTCATCGGAAGCAACAATATTTCTGGATATTCTCCGTCCTCGACTTTTCTTCAATGTTACTGCTGCTTCATAATCGTCTATTGATTCCGCTTGCTCTGTATTGTTTTCAACTATTTCTTCCTCGTTGACTCCTATGTGTTTCTGTATAGCCGATTTTCTACGAGATCGTCTCGGTTTTTGAGGTAGAATTTCCTCAATATCGTCGTTGGTGGTATCCAGTGGGTCAGCTGCAGTAAGAACCGATTCATCTACGGCTAAAGGTTCGGAAGATGGCTCGTCTCGTTTTCTTTTGTTCCGCGATAGACGTGGTAGCTTTCTGGGAGATTTCGTTGCCTTCACTACAGCGAGGGCGGCTTCTTCTTCCAACGACGTGTTTGCACCCACCAACGAGTCTTCCACTACAATTTCATTTGAAGGGTCCCTTTCGATGGACTCAATTGGCTCGGAAGGTAGATGAGTAGGTGATAGGGCGATCTCTGCCATTCCTGATGCTGAAATATTCTCTTTTGATGTCTCTAAAATTGACAAGTTCGAATGATCCGTCACAGGTTGCTCTGGCTCGTTATCGTCTGGTAAATCGTATACGTCTTTTCTCGCCGAACTCCGAGAAGACCGCATACTCCTAGTAGAAGAAGATGGGGGCTCATCTGTTTCCAGCTTCCTTCTCTTTGCAGACGTATTTGCATCATTCCCAGTATTAGATCTTGTAACGTTATTCGATTGTAAGCCCAGTATATTCGAGGATCTTTCGCGACTTCTGGTCGCAGTAGCAGGCGTTTGGCTTATGGGCTGTGAAGGTAACTCGGGTTGAGGAGTTTCTCGATTTGCTGGAGCTTCTGGAAGTGAATTTGGAATTGTTGGAGCTGGAGTTGGAACTGGAGATGGTTCTGCTGCTGGCGGCGCCGGCGCAGCAAAAGCTGGCAACATGAAACCGAAGTCGACATCTTTGACCTGACGTCTACACAATCAATTGTCAATTACGCAAAACGAAGAGGGGTTAATTGTTAGAACTTACTGGGCACCTCCTCGTAACCGTTGTTGCATGCGCTCTTCTCTAGCTATGAATCAATTAGCATCAATTTATTCCAACAACCAAGTATTAACTTACTGGACTCCATTTCTACTTGATTGGGAGAGGAAGATATCTCTCTCTCTTCATTGAAGTCGCGTTTGTCACAGAGTTACGCGATTCTCTACTGTTGCAATCAATTGAGGTTATAATATTATAAATTCACGTTACGCCCCGCTTACCCCACACCCCATCGCGCTTGGTTGCCCCAGCAATATATTAGTGTCACTTAAGATATTACTATACACACGGCTACTTCATCCAATCATTAAGTTGCTCCTACAATCCCTTTGAGGTGGCGTAGTGAAACGCGTTATATTGCCATTGAAATGTCGCTTCAATGTTACCAAGTTGATTTACTTTCATAATATTCCAAAGTTCCTTTCATTTTGCAATTCGATGGATAGTGCCATAATGGATTATATACCAATTCCCTCCTTCATCAGCAAGGCTCTTCAAGGAAGAAACCAACCCAGGACTCGAGATGTATCATCAAAAATTCCCAATCCCTTGAGTTATCCTAAGAGTTCTCTACCTTTTGATTCTCAATTATTCAAGAACCCATCATCGGAATATCGAGGTTGTCCCTTCTGGGCATGGAACACAAAGCTCGATAAAGGACAACTCCTTCGTCAAATTGATTATTTCGCTGAGATGGGGCTGGGAGGATTTCATATGCATGTTCGCACCGGCCTTGATACAGAATATATGGGAACAGAATTCATGGATTTGATACGTGCCTGTGTTGATTATGCTGAAACCAAACAAATGCTGGCTTGTTTGTATGATGATGATAGATGGCCTTCTGGAGCTGCTGGTGGAAAGGTTATTGAGAAATATCCTGAGCATAAAGGAAAACATCTCCTTTTTACACCTCATGCTTATGGAACAGTACCACTTGGCGGGTAAGTTATGAACCAATTGCATGCCCCTCACGTTCTGATTCAATCATAAACAGAGGTGCTCCCGCCTCTGCCAGAGCTAGTAGGAGTGAGAATGGACACCTCATAGCAAGGTTCGATATCGAGTTGGATAGCAATGGTACACTAAAATCAAGCCGTATTTTGGAAAAGGACGAGCACGGGGAAAACGTGTGGTATGCCTATGTTGAGACGAATCCCAATTCATCTTGGTTCAATGATCAAACATATATCGATACTCTCAGCGAAAGTGCAATGGCTCGCTTTATTGAGATGACGCATGAAGTCTATAAGAAGAAGTGTGGCGACAAATTTGGAACTGTTATACCTTGCATATTCACCGATGAGCCTCAATTCGCTACCAAAATACGTCTTCCTCATCCCCGAGCTAACGATGACATATTCCTTCCGTGGACAACTGATTTGCCGGAAAGCTTTGAAAAAGAGTACCATGCTGATATTGTGGAATGTTTGCCACAAGTAATATGGAATCTTCCGAATGATAAACCAAGTTTATCGAGGTATCGATATCATGATCATGTTTGTGAAAGATTTGTTTCTGCTTTTATCGATCAAATTAGTGGATGGTGTCGGAAAAACAACTTGTACCTAGACGGACACATGATGGAAGAGCCGACTCTTTATTCTCAAACTACAGCTCTTGGCGAAGCTATGCGATGTTACCGAAACATGGATATGCCGGGCATAGACTTACTTGTTGATGGTGTCGAATACAATACAGCGAAACAAGCCTCCAGTGTTTCTAGACAAATGGGTCGTCGGGGTGCAATGTGTGAAATATATGGTGTTACCCATTGGTATTTCACATTCGAGGGTCACAAAGGCTGTGGTGATTGGCAAGCAGCTCTTGGTATTACTTTCCGTGTTCATCATCTTGCGTGGTTAAGCATGGCTGGAGAAGGAAAAAGAGACTATCCAGCATCCATCAATTATCAAAGTCCCTGGTACAAAGAATATGGTTATGTTGAAGATCATTTCGCAAGAGTTGGTGTTGCAATGACCCGAGGCAAAGCTGTTACTCGCGTTGGAGTCATTCATCCCATTGAGAGTTATTGGTTATGTTTCGGTCCTGATCAAAGTGGTGACGAGGCAGGATCTCGTGATCGTGCGTTCTCCGACTTCACGAACTGGTTACTTCATGGTCTAATTGACTTTGACTTCATTTCTGAAAGCTTGTTGCCAACTCAAGTGAGTAAAACCCCAAAAGGCAAAAAGCTAACAGTAGGATTTTGTGAATATGAAGTGATTATTGTGCCGAATCTACGTACCATCAGATCATCGACTCTTAAGGTCTTACAAGCATTCTCAAAAGCTGGCGGTCATGTAATCATCGCTGGTAGTTCACCCGAGTAAGTAATGACTTCTTTACAATCATTGGCTCTTTTGATTCTTGGTCCATGCTTTTTGTGGTTGAAAAGTACTGATTAAATTTTCTAGATTAATCGATGCCGCAGTCCCATCAGAGAAGCCTACAATCAAGCACAGTATCAATGTATTCTGGAGCCAACAGAATATTTTGTGCGCACTAAATGAACATCGTGATCTTCGAGTAACAAATGAGAATGGCTCATCCACTGAACATTTGTTGTATCAGATGAGGGAAGATGGAGCTGAAAGATATATTTTCATCTGTAACACAGATCGTAATTCACCAATCATGACGAAGATAGAGCTAAAAGGTCATTGGGTTGTTTCAGAGATGGACACTTTCAATGGAGAAGAGAGTCCATTTTCTAGTCAACTTGCAAAGGACTGGACACAATTGCACTATCGGTTTGAAGGATGCGCAAGTCTTCTCATGCGTTTGAGACCAAGGACAAGACAATCTATCACAGAGATCCTACCATTGATAAAGCTTTCTGAGAAGACTCCTATACTTGAAGGAGATGTTACTCTCGCGGAAGTAGAACTTTCTGAGCCAAATGTCCTCATGCTTGACTATGCATCCTACAAACTAGATTCTGATGAACATTGGTCAGATTCTACTGAAGTTCTCAGAATTGATAACGCTATTCGGGATCGACTGGAATTACCTCACAAAGGAGCTGCATTTAGACAACCTTGGTCAATACCGGCCGCAGAAAGAGCCCCTAAAACGCAAGTAACCATGCGTTTTCTGATAATATCAGCATTAGACAACAACAAGCCAACAAAACTTGCACTGGAAAATATCGAAGGAATGAAAATAAAGATAAACAGGACCCAGTTGGATTCCCAAAAATTTGATGGTTGGTGGGTTGATGAAGACATCCGAACTTTGGAAATACCAGCCTACAAAATTAGACCTGGAAGGAATACTCTCACGCTTTCTTTTCCATTTGGTATTCTGACAAATATTGAACGTCTTTATTTGCTAGGCGACTTTTCTGTTGGTAACAGGCATAATAGCTCTCTTGGTACAGACTCATATTATCTTCGACAACCGAGAACAGTATCTTGGGGAGATATTACAAAACAGGGTCTCCCATTCTACGCTGGAAACTTAACCTATATCTGCGATGTATCAATACCACCAACGAGCCCTGACACAACTGTTCATCTTTCAGTGCCTAACTTTTCTTCGCCAGTACTCGCTGTAGCTTTAGCTGACACAAAACAAAAGCTTGGGCGTATAGCATTTCAACCTCGAACACTAGATATCACATCTCTTGGACCAGGAAGACATAAGATTGCAATAACAGCTTTTGGAAATAGGTATAATTCTTTTGGACATGTTCATTTGCCTGATGGACTTACGAACGGTTGTTCCCCGGATATTTGGAGAAGTAGGTTGTCTCATTTGCACTTTTCCCTTATGGTCATCTACTAATTGAAATAGCTGGTGGAGATTGGTGGACGGATAGTTATAACGTGAAACCTATTGGTATATTGGAATGTCCGAGTTTAAAGTCGGAAACGAAACTTATTGATGTGGCCGATGAAAGCAACGAGGAAGGATGGGAAGTGATTGAATAAGCCCTGTCCCGTAAAACAATATGTTTTACCTAGCAATAATTTCTTCAAGTTTACGGGTCTACTCTATCTACACTATTTATTGACCCAGGAGTTCTGAAAACTGTTCTCAACCCTGCTGAATTTATCCTTTCCATTTCAATATCATGTGAAATTCCCTCCTCAACAGCTACCACATTTTCAATTTCGTTTCCATTTCCACTTCCCCCTTCATTCTCGCGTTTCTTCTGAATCCTTCTTTTGATCCAAGGTAGAAGGTTGAAGTATCCACCACAAGCAAATACTCCACACCAAAGAATAAATTCCGAGGCGTAAATTACTATCCCAAGTATATCAAGATGTGGTTGAAAGACTAAGACATCAGTATTGATTTGAATATGGGCCATGAAGAATCAGACTTACAAACAGAAACTAGAGAAAATACATCTCCAGCAGCATCGATACCCACGAAGATGAATGAGATACCACGGACAGTACGATGGATATAAATATCATAGTAGTGTCTCAATACCCCAGCTGACAATAGAACAGCTGATAAAACACCCATCAATATCACGGGCCATTCGAGATCTCGATGTTGACCGACCTGATTACGATATTTAGTGACTGCAACTACTTGGTGAACATAATATTCGGCATACCTTCAACCCCGCAATAAATGCTACTTCAATCCCTCCAAATACCATCCCAATACCTCCCGTGACCAAAACACATTGCTTCAAACTCCACCCCTAGATCTCAAAATTAGCAATCCATCAAGCGTTCCTAATATGCACATTTCCTCCTCTCCATTCCTACATCTAGTCAGAAGACAAGAAACATACTTCACTATAATACAAACACTGTCCCCAGGTAACCAAACTCAAAACAGTTAATATCTGCGGCTGCACTAACAGCGCAACATTGAATCCCGATGCGATATTAAATGCGCCTAAAGGCACGCCAGCACAAGCCCAAAGTAGCATCATAGAACGTTGAAGTCCGATTGTATGGTGCCGATTATAGTTTATGATTATTTGGGGTATGAGCTAAGGGACTGTTAGCGGGAGAGTCGAGATGAATTAGAGAGAGGAAGTGATGGGGCAAGGGGGGTAGAAGGCGGCGAGGCACGAACTTGGATGGACCAACATATTGCACCCAATGTTCCGATAACATTAGCAGCGATGGGGATATCCATTAAGATAGAATTGATAGATGGGATTGAGAAATGAGAAATTTAAAAGAGAAAATCGATTTGTTTTGTTCGAGATTAAACTCTATGATAGCGATATCGGACAAAGCCACAGCAAAATTCTTGGATGACTCAATATATGATTAATTCTCACCCGTCAAGACTTTGTGAAAAGGTGTCTGAAGAGCTTGGAACTCTTGTTGACTGAACGTTTATTAGCATGAGTGACAGACATGTGGTCTAAAGATTTACCGGATTCGGCTGCCAAAACAAGCGGGTACTCCCGTTTCGGATAGTCTTATCCAGGAGAGCATTATCCGTCGGCTAGTGGAAGGGGCTATCACAAAGATCCAGTCTTTGGCGAGGACTAACGACGATTGCTCGTTATTGACTGCCGGTAGTTAGTACCTAAGTAGTTCATGGCCAGATTTATGGTGAATATTGTCTCGAGCCGAAGAAAATGCAGATTGTCACGAATCATTCAAGTAGGTCATTTCAAAAAGGGTTATGCTTCCTATCTCTATTCGTTCCCCTACTCGCAGGGGCAATACCAAATTTACATGCTACCTGGAGGTCCATTTTGATGATAAATACTATACAAATCAAGCTGACGTTAGCTGTTACTTCCAAACCAATAAAGTGGCGATTTCGAGATTCCCCGATGTATAAAAGACATTTCCACAGGTTCCTCCATCTACACCATCAAACATACTCGGCCAACCAACGAATTCGAAATTTAAAAGCTTCAAAAGGGGGCAGGCCCTTAAGATAACGAAGCTGGGTGCTTTTGGGTGAAAGGTGAGCATCTCGAAGGCACGATGCCTTACTTTGGCCTTCGTCGATCATACATGTAATTTTTTGAGGCTAAGCACCTGGCGCGTGAAGGTGGTCAGAGGAAGGCATATGCGGGTCTCGCGAGCCATACCATGAATCTTATCATCGTCCACGGAATATCGAGAAAAATTTATCGCTAATAGTTTCCCTGCCCTGTTCTTTCCTTTGCCTTCTTTCTTCATCCTGTTTCTCGTAAATCTTTCCTAGCTGACCTGCAACTTGTTCACCAGCTTCGATTTCGGCCTGAATTGCTCGTTCCTCGACTAGTCTCTCATCATCGTTTAGTCCTTCAAGACGCTTCTTAAATGAAGCTTGTACCTTCGGCGAAAGATCTGATGCCTTGAGCTTATTATTTTCTTGTGCGGATTCCGATTGACCAGGTCTTGATTTTGATATAAGCGGAGGAAATATAGGCACAGGTCTTCCTTCTGCTTTTGCTTCTTCAATTTGTTTCTCTTGGTCAATCATTCGATGATACAATGTATCGGCATGCATTTGAATCTGTTCATCGACTGCCGGCGGACGATCGTAGGTTGATAAGTAGCCTAAAGCTTTCAAGAATTTCTATCACAATTAGAATTCGAGTTTATCATTCTTGGAACATCCAAAACTTACACCTTGCATAGTATAACATCTTTCAAGCTTCCTATTCTGCTGTCTGCACATAGTTAATCGAGCTTGCCATCCTCCTGAACGAAAACACTCATTCACATCCCACTGTTCCAAAGCGCAATTCTCCAAAGCTGCCCTCCCAATCTCCGCCTTTCTGTATTTATATCCTTCAATGACATCTTGAATCTTTTCGGCATCCGATTTAGCTGCTTGCTCGACTTCTGCTTGTGGCTGGTATGTTTTCCATAAATGAGCGTAGCGTCCGTCTGGGTATAAACTCTGCGAAGGCACACTGGGTTTTGTAGGATCCTCAGTCGTACTTGTCAATGTGGGCTCCGGCGTTTTTGTTTGCGACGAGACAGTTGTATCTGCCGACTTTGTCGAATCATACTTGACTGGTGATTCTTTTTTAAGAAATTCTCGTAAACTGGGATCGAGATTCTTTAAAGGATCTTGGGATTTATCCTTGTCGCCATCATTTGAATCACCCCAAAACCAACCCATCTTGAATCTTGTGAATCTTTGGGAAACGCGGGGGACTAAAATTTCTAGAGCTGGAGAGCTTGTTCGGTGGTGTGCTTAGTCATCATAGAGGTCAATGGGGAAAATTAGCACAAAACCTGGATCTACAATTAATAAGACTTTGCAATCATATATCTTTAGGGAAAATTGTATTCTATATTTTGATGGGATTTGATTCATTCATTATGTTGTTTTGGCTCTTTGAGCTTCCTAGAACATCATAATAAATTTCTTTTTCTATAAGTTATGACTTTTAATAATGATCCTTATGAAACATACGCACTGTTCGTGGAAGAGGAAATATATTATACGGGTATCTAAGCCCTATGCTATCAACGGAATGACAAAACTTAATAGAAGAAAAGAACATCACATGTGTACCTGCATCCCAAACAAACTTAAAAAAGCTTTGTGTAGGCCTCAATTCATGCTTTTCTGTCTGCTCTCAGCTGTCCATGCTCATGCTCAACAGTAGCCCTTCTCAATGCCACATGTCACCCACACGCTGTGACCATCGATACGAACTCCAACTGGTCTCCCACTAGGCATATGGTCTTACTCACGGGCTACTAGGTTGCAACACGGTTAGGATTTGGACATGGAGTCTCATCTTTCTCTGTAATGTTATCGAGCGTCTGGCAATGCACCGCCTCGCATACCAACTTTGGCCGATTGCCATACCACATATGAGCCACCTCGGAGACGGGTTTCTGATGGTTCATCGTCTTTATTAGAACTTGGCGGTGATAGAATACCTGCTGATATTTGATGTTCCGGTAAGAACCCCTTATCATGTATGTGTGAGAAGTATGATTTCGAAATGGTGATATTCTATCCTTAAACGAACTGCGTGGCTTTTCGTCTTCAAAGCAGACGTTACCTAGGCTTTCATGTGGCATTACTTCATCACTGCTCACTCCTTCGAAATAGTCCCCGCCATTTCCTCGACCAGACTCCATGTCAAAATCAAATAAAACCAATTCAAAACCAACTGGTTGTTGTCTCGGTAGTCTCTTGAAGCCTGCTCAAATCTTTCGGTAGCTTTGTGGCACTCTCGATCCTCTCCTATGCATTAGACCAAACGACTCACATAAGCCCCTTGTGGAACATTCTCTGGAGATTGCCAAGCCGGGTTCAGCACCGGCGTCGTTTCCTCAATATCCAATTATTGTTAGACTCGGGAGACTCTTCCTCAAGTTTTGGTCCGATGGGGTGACACTTCGAAGCCATTTAGTCACACCGCCAGAGTCTTCTGAGATCGGTGGCTGCGGACCTTGCGCCAGATTATTCTGCCCACCAAAATTATTTGCATTTTGAAGGCGAATGTTGCCGCGTCGGAGGAGGAGTCAGTCGAATATCTTAAGAATTGATTCAAATGACTCATTATAGATGGTGCAATGAAGGTATGTATTTTAATAACAAATATTTGAGATACAAGTTTACTATAAACTTTGAAAATTGAGAGATGTTCCATCAGCCCATGCATCCACTGGTGGTGCACCAAGTCAAAAGGCATGCTCTAGGAGAATCTAGATAAAACGAATGTATGGAACTGCCTACCTAGGTACTGCATTGAAATCGCTTCAACTCAAATTAACAACAATTAAGTGGTAGATTATCTTCTCTCAGAATAAAGTACCTCAATTCAGGATGGGTGGTGATGGATTTAAACCGCCTATGGGTTACCGAGGCCCACTGATTTTTACCAGTTCTTCAGAGGCGAGGCTTGGCAGCGTATGTTGATTAACTACCGTTCCCCCTTTCAAATTTCTCGCTTCATTTGCTTCATCCCTCTCCTCCGTCTCTCATCGGCTTATTTCCCTTTCCCTTTCGCCTTCCTACATCCACCTCACCTCACATTCCCTCCCCCTATCTTCTTCGTATATCTTCCCTTCTGCTTCCCTAGCCTCCTCTTCACACAACCCAATTCCGTTCTATCCCCCCTCCTACTTCTCATTTCTACTTGCCCTCTTCTACATTAGCTTATTTGTTCCTTCTTCTATTCGCGCTTCCTATTTTCCTTTTACTTCTCCATCCTATCGTTTCTCCACATCTTTAAGATCAATTCTTTTTGTACAAGACTGAATATCGGCATTCTTCTCAATGAGAATGTGCAATGATCGCTACTTGCTTATCCATATCTAGAAATTAGTACAAGCGTCGCAACGTATGGGGCAATTGCTCCGCAAGATACTCTCGAATATTAGATGTTAAGCTCGAAGTGGCAGAATGTTGATCAGAGAGAGTTGTATCGACGCTGCTACCTAAGCGAGCACTTCTTGCGACCGTGGTCCAGTTCACATCATCTATTGGTTGACAGCCGAGTAAATCCACAGAAGTTTCGGGTATTTCGGTCGAAGGCGCAATATGGTCAGATATTAACGAACCATTGCTATCGAACATCATCTCCTCAGCAGCTCCCTCAATTGGACTGTCATTGACTACCGGTACTGGTAACTGAGACCCCAAGCGGATGCTGTCCGTTGAAGAGTTGGACAATATTCCCCGATCATCTGCGGGACCCCAAATCGACGAAAAAGCCTCCCTGCTATTTGTTGGAAGACGTCTGCTTTGTGCATCTACCACAGGGGAGCTCTGTCATAAGTCGGATGGACTGCTGAGGTAAAGATTAAAAGATGCACGCTGTGCTTCAGGAACATGACGTGAATGTTGAGGAGTCTCTGGAATTTCTCCGCCGTGTCGGGAGGAATGGTTCCTTCTCAAGCTTCTTCTGCCATTTTTCAATGGGGAGCGACTCCGATTTCTTCCTCCTTGAATAAATCTGTGCGCCCCCAAAGAACGTCCTGTAGTGCCGCGGAATTGATTGATTGGATTAATACCAGGAAATCTTTTGTTGTTCCCAACCATTGAATGTGAGTGTCAATCAACAATCTACCGACTTGAATTGTCGGAAGTAGTTCTACATACAGTAATGATACCATAAAGTTCTCTCTGCCAAGTATTGGATGAACTCAAGGACATTGGGGTTAATACGCTCATAGCCTTCTACTTCCGTCCGAGTGCGAAGCCATTGAGACTCAAATTCTTCTGTGATCTCAACTAAATCTCTTGCTACAACCATGACTTCTATCAACCACAACTGTTCGACATGAGGTTTTTGCTCCATATTTAAGATAGTTATGTAAATAAGTGAGAATATTTTTGTAGTAAGACCTTTATTATTTATGATGTAGTATTGAAATAAACTGATCGTTGATTTTGAATGAATATTGAGGGCACTATATAAATGAAGTATGAAAAATGAAACCTGAAGTTCTTCAGTCAATTTTTATGTGTTGCAACTGCTCGTCTCAATCTCTCAAACCAGTGGTTCGGCCGATGATTCACAATGTATGATTCGAGTTGATACTTGGACGCGATTCTTGCAGCATTCGATGATCAAGTGGGTTTTATCCTTTCATGTTGGCTCGAGTGTGCTTCTCTCAATGTGGCGAGATCTAGTCGGTCTTTAGATTATACTCCGATCTATCTATTTCGTATAAGTCTATTGTTTTGTGTTGGTCTCATTCGTACTCGCTTCCGTTCAGAGTGTTGATCCGCTAGGTGGCAGTGGCTCTATCTCTGTACGTCTATCTTCTCATGTCAGATAGTGATCATATCCGCCACAATAAGTGCTTCTCTCAACAATTCCTTGATTATTAAAGAAAGCCGCCCTTCATCCGGCACGCCGTCACTAGGCAGATGATGAGTTCGTTCTGGTTAACGAGTCCAGGGTAATCTTTGTGTTGGTATCACCATGGGGATGATAAAGTCAATATAGTATTATGATTTACACTATTATTATATTACTTAAGATTCTAAAAGCTAGGGCTATGAAATGTATTATTGTAATATCAAAAGATACTAATATTAATGTTAATATAGTTACATAATCTTTATCCCAACACTAACAACTTTTTAAAGTTATTGGATTGTATCGTTCTAATTAATTGTTACGACAGACATCACATGACACATTCGCGTGTCACGTGAGGGAGCCTTGGGGAGCTACGGGCTCCAGGAGCATACGGATCCCAGGGGCTCCAGAGGACGAAGGTCTATATAACAGAATGAGTTTCATTATAATATGGAGCTTCGTGCTCAAGAACAATCATTAGTTCCATTACTATAGTTACGAGAATTGCAACCAGTTACCAACCTTATTGAATTCCTACTTGAAGTTTAGTCTAAACCACCTCGAGAGATCTCTAGCCACTTCCACGTGACCCTAGAGGCAGCTCCCGTAACATTAATACCTCTTTTGCCTATGTAACTATCTATTCTTTTAATCTTTTTCAATTCACTCTATAATCTTAATCTTTATGGTATTATTATCAATCAGATCTTTTAGGATTTAATACAACTTGAATTTAATTATTACATCTATAAGGTTAGAATTTTTATTAATTTATTTAATCTTTATAATCTCTCGTTTCTTATATACCTTTTAAATTGCTATTACATTAATTATTAGTTTTTTTTTATTAATAGTTTCAAATTTTGTAAAACAATTATAAAATGATTTGAAATTGATATATATAATCAATAAGATCTTATAATTTGAGAAGATCTTATCGATTATACCTTTAATTGTCGTACTAATATTAAAACCTAAAATCATAATATAGAATTCTAATACTAATACACTTCTAATAACTCTCTTATACTTAATAAATAATTAATAAATAATATTAACTTTATTGTATTTATCCATTAAAACGATAATATATCTAATCTAAAAGAATAAATCTTTATTATTAATAAAGAATACGTTAATAAATATAATTAGTTTTAAAGAATTTATATTAAATGAAATAAATTGTAGATCTCTTTTCGAATTGTTAATCTGCTATTGAATATATTTATTTAAAGAATTGACATCTTCTTCCTTAAAATTGATACTTTGTATAATATAAGTGTTACGGGAGCTGCCTCTAGGGTCACGTGGAAGTGTCTAGAGTTCTCTCGAGGTGGTTTAGATTAGACTTCAAGTAGGAATTCAATAAGGTTGTAATTGATTGTAATTCTCGTAACTATAGTAATGAAACTAATAATTGTTCTTGAGCACGAAGCTCTACATTATAATGAAACTCATTCCTTTATATAAACCTTCATTCCCTATCCTATTTCTTAGAACCTTTATATAGACTGGATCACTATGGACCTCACTGCGCTCCAGGAGCGCTACAGCTCCTCGACGCTCCGTCACTTGTCCATAGTCATATGACGCGGTACTTCGTAAGGACCGCCGTAACAATTGCTCAGATTGTATTGGTTTTATTACTTATACTAATTCAACGAGTTCTTTATAAGGTTGGTTCTAAGATCGATCCTTTTTTTCCATATATAATTTGATTTAAATAATATAAAACTCTATTGAATTATTTATTAATTATATAATATATATTTCATCTTTTATTCCCAATAAATAATACAAATCTGTCCAGCCTTTATGTTCTTTTTATATCTAAATCTTTAAATTAATAAATAGGTTATATAATATTATTATTAATAATCTATTACATTAGTTTAATATATTTAATATTTATTTTGTTGCTTATAACTTATTGATTTTGTTCATTGCCTTCTTAATTATAGTCTATTGTTATAAGATTATAAATACTAGTAAATCGAAATCGATTATTCGTAAATATATTCTAAATATTAAGAATATTGAAACTAATTTGTTTAGTTTTATAATGTTATTTACTATTTTAATAGTTATTTATAATATTATTTTCTTTATTATAAAACTCTTTAATTTGTTAATAATAATATTATATATTTATTTAATAATTAACTTATATAATAATGTTTAACAATTTCAATTAATTAATAAGCTTTAATTGGTATACTTTTTGTTTTAATTAATATAGTTACTATATATTATATAAATTTCTTATTAATAAAGTTCTTTTTAGTATTATATATAATATAATCTGGAGGGCTAGTATAAATATTCATTCAGTATTTTCGAAATATATTAAAGGTATACTTTATAATATTATTATCTAACTATTATACTACTTAGAATTATATATCTTTATTAATAATATATAGGATAAAGTTGATACTAATATATATTGTATTCATTATAATTAAATGATTGAAATTAATATTATCTTATAGATTGAACTTAAATCGACCTAATGACTTTCCATACTTTTGATAATATTAACAGAACTTAATAAGTTTATTAATTTTAACTTATATAATATTATTATAACTAACTTATTAAAGTATTTATAAAAGTTTATATACTAATAAATGATTAAAGCAATAATATAAACATTATAGTTCTATATTAATAAGGTAGTATATATTATCATTAATGATTTGTTATATGAATTATTATACATTTATATATTATAAGAGTATTATATATCCATTATAATAAATGTATAGGAATCGTTCTTTTATATTACTTATAATAATTATATCAAGAATATTATTATAATATACACCAAGCCTATCCATATCTTTAAGAAATAATAAAAATAATATTTCTACATTTATAATATAAAATTTAATTATATTAAATCAATCGACTCAGCTTTATTAATTCCAAATACTACACTTACAATTCCTATTATTTTTATATTTAAGATAATATTCTCAATTGTTATTTTATATACTATATATTACTCATAACTCATTATTGATTATTATACTATAGCTATATTGATAATAATTCCTTAAAATTTTCTTATATTATATCTACTAATATATATTATACTTTCAAATTGAGATTGATATATTAAAGTATATATAAAAAATTTATTAAATAGGTTTTTAATAATCTTTTATTCTTTTATAAATCTATTCTAGATAATAAAGCTTGAATATAGTTCTTATACAAATAGGTTTTAGAGTTCGAATTATACGAAATAAACTATAACTTTATTATCTATATCAAAATTAGAATTTTCAATAGATTCTTTATATTCAATAAGAAATTGTTTAAAGTTTTTATTAAAATTATTATTTTTAAATTATTCCTTATACTTATATTAGGATTTCTTATATTCCTTTTTATTATATCGGATTGATTAATAATCTTTCTTTTTATAAATAAAGTATTTTTTTTTCATACATAATTTAAATAAACATTAATTACCTTATTTGAAATCTTTACTCTAACTATATCCACCTTGATTGTAATAGTACTTACAATTAGTATAGAATGTCATAGCTTCATTGGAATAAGCTTATTCCTATATTATAATAATTAAATATAATTTCTCTAAAAGACTTGGAGTGTTTTTAACAAGATGAAAGTAAGTTAGAAAGTACATCTATATTAAAGCGCATATAATAATAATCTTTTAATAAAGTAATTTTTCTGTTTTTATTATAAAGCTAAATCCTTTATATATATAATAAAGTTTTATGATTATAAATTATAGGCATTAAAACATTATCTTTTCTTTATTATCTAATTCTATTATTACATTCTTAAATATAATAGTTTCTTATTACTATATAAAATTGTACTTATATTCTGGACTTTTAAATGTAAATATTATTAAATTATAAATTCTAGTTATTATATTAGATAAGTTGTTTAGATTTATATAGTAAAAGTTAAGTATAATATTAACAAGTATAATGAGAAATGTATTCTTTAATAATAATATAAGTATATTAATACATTTGTAATTATTAAGAAAGATTGAGAATTTGTAAGCAAAATTATTATTTTGACTATTATATTTATCAGCTTTATTATAAAGTTTTATAAGGTTATTTAAAAGCTAATTAATATTTATAGATTTCTAAAAAGATGAAATATTTTAAATAATATTGATACCTTCTAAATCGTTTTCTTCTTTACTTTTATAATATTAATCCTAATTTGGAATATTGTTTTTTCTACTTTTATTATTTCCTTTTTCCTTACTTATATTATTATTGTTATCAGGTAGATCATTAATTAATTATCTAATTCGTTATTACGGGACTATATTATTATTAAACTAATGGGATATTCATATCTTTGTTGGAATTAGTTTCGATTACTTTTAATTAAGATTTCGGAGATTGGATTGAGGGTGTAATTGTAATAATATTAGGATAACCTTAATATTAAATTGTTAGATAGATCGAATAAATATTGATTTTATTAAACTATAATATTCTTTCATAAATAATGAATCAATAGGAAGATTAATAATATAATTTCAAATTATTAGTATTTGCTATTATAATAATAATTTTAATAAAAAAGGGATATATAGTTTATACTTCTTAATATCTTTATTTTTATTATTATATTAATATAGATTAATATCTAATAATCCAAATATAGTATTTAAAAGTTATAATAATCTACCTTGATTATAAATAGTTTATCTAATTAAATCTTTTACCTTAATTATTTCGAAAATAGCTAATAATATTTTCAATTCTTTTATAATTCTCTTAAATATACTTAATAATTGAAATTGAAACCCTTTCTTCTTAAAAATATTCGTAATTTTAGGATTCAATTATTATTAAAACATTATAAATTATATATCAATTAATACCTTATTAATCATTTATTTTAAATAGATAATATACTTTATAACAAGTAATCCATATATACAGAATTTGTATCGTAATTTATATAATAATTGTATTCCAATGAACAGAAAATACTCTAATTTAAAGTCCTTAAAATTTACAATATAATCTAACCATAACTTTTTATTATAAAAGTTACTGAATTTATATTCATATAATTTATATTTATAGAAATCTTATATTTCCTTTTTGTTCATATAATTAATATCGAAAGAATAATTTTCCCATTTATTTACTATTAATTTATAATTATTAGATATAATTTTTAATAAAATTAAAGATTTAGTAATAGATTTAATGAATTTAATATTGTTGAGTTATTTTAGAATTAAATACTTAACATTTTCGATACAATATTTCCAAGATATAAAAAAATCTATAAATGATCCTATTATATTTAACAAATAGTAAGTAAATAATAGAATATTAATTCTATTAAATTATAATAAAGTTTAAGTTTAAAGAATATAATATTAAGCTTAAGCTAAATACTATTGATTCTTATTCTTTAATATATATTATAATAAAGAATAAGATATAAATTAAAGTTAGTATAAAAGCTGCTGTCATATTACTAATCACTCTTATTTATATAAAGGCAAATATCAAACCATATTGGAATAATATAAGAGTTTATACTTTTTCAAAGAAATATTAATTTTAGTTCAAATCATACATTGTAATTAAAATTAAGGTGTCAGGCTTTTGATTTATAATATTATTGATTAGTATTGATATCATTATAAAAATGATGAAGTCAATATAGTACTATAGTTTATATTATTATTATATTGCTTAAGGTTCTAAAAGCTAGAGCTACAAAACGTATTACTATAATGTCGGAAGACACTAGCGTCAACACTAGCGTAATCATATGATCCCTGTCTCAACACTTTGGAATGGACAACAAGGACTATGGTGGTTATTCCGACACCGGTGCCATGTGCATGGTCCCCTGTGCTCACCCGTGAGATGGTTTCTTGTACATATGAGACAGCGAACCACAGGGGTATCATGGAGATTGCTGGAAGGATCTACAGCATTTGTCTCTTTGCCAAACCCAATGCTCAGGGGTAGCGATTGAGCTTAGTGCATAGCTTTTTGCTGTGATGGCTGGCTGGGTTCATCATTTGTGCCTTGGGGCTGAGGCTGTAGCTCTGGTGTATGATCTTGTTCCTCGGGATGTACTGGTGGTTGAACTTGAGACTCGTGGTCAGACTGGAATATTTGGATTGACGGCATGAGCCAATCTAAATCGCAGTAGCTCGGTCGTGAAATGAACAAAGGTGCATTGCGGATCGTATCACACCCGACTAAATCACATTTATCAATACCATCATGCTAACCGAATGATGACCTTACTTACAGTAGTAGTTCCATATTGCAGATACCAAAACATAATCACGAATCTCCTTATATGGCAAATTGAACAGTTACTTAAGCCTTTCAACGAGAGAATTCCATTCACTTCGAGTGTCCAATGGACTATCTGGTGGGTTTGGACGTATGACACGATTTTTGATTGCCAAAAGCCATTGGCTGTAACTACGAAACATAGACATCGTTGATTGTCTTCTCAAATAAACGGATGGGAAGAAGTAAATGATTATAATTCAAAAAATGATTTCATGAAATCTTTGCGATTCGCGGAAGAAGATTGGATGATTGGTCGTTGTTAATTGAATATTTTGACGGTTTGTGTTTTTGTTGATGGGAGAAGATACGAAGATCGAAGCAGAGCAACAACAACGATCAACCACTTCACTTTCGTGTATCATTTTTCTTACCCACCAAATCTCTTCCAAAAATCAATTACCTAGGTAGTTACCAGTTTTCTCACTTCTCTTTTGTAATTTTAATGGTGCATCTGTAACTCGCAATTCCTTTATCAGGTGAAATATGATTGAATTTGGAATTTGGAAAGGTACATAATGATGAAGCAGTCCTCACCCATCATTTGCGAGTAAGGTTCCATGCAATAAAAATACGTCGTCCTTGGACCTTAAGGGCAGTTTATAACTAGAAGAGTTTGAGGCGTCCATCCTCTGCAACTCTTTCTTTCTCATCATACCATACTTCACTCTCGAATGCCTCACTATTCCAAATATGTGTCTTCACCAACAGTTTTGTCAACTTCTGCTGACACGCTTTCATCTACATCCAGGATGTAATGAGCGGTAGTAATGCAAGTGGTTTCCCAGTGACCGGAATCTGTTCCCATGTAAAACATCCGTTTATGCTACAGAGACTTCGCCTGTAGCAGTGTTAGCAAGCAATCAGTTTGGAATGGGGGAAAAGCGCAATATTACACTTTTACATATTGACCTACAGGCAAAGCAAATCCTTAAGCAGATCTTACCATTGCCTTTGATATCAGCGACAAATTGCATGGCCATAAATCTATACAATTACAAGGTCTTGAATTAGTCATAGGCAAATCGAACAATCTTCCTATATTTGGTGGTGACAGTGATCATCTCTTGCCAGTATAGCGACGTGATCCCAATAGTAAGCTTCAGCTATTGGGCTCATACGAGCCTTACACATAGAACTCACAATATCCCATCGAGTTCGATTGGGTTGATCGATGATTGTCCGCGCGTTACCGAGAAGTCCTCGCTGTCTCTTATATGTTCAACATGATCCATACTGAAGTTTTCGTTGACCAGAGATCATTATCTCAAAACACTGGGAGACTAAGAGACACCCTTTTGTGTTTGTGATACTTTGAAACTTACGGCGATTTCTGGATAGGATAGAAATGCGTGGACTGTATCCTTATGTGTTGTATTATATCTATCCAATAAATTACAGATCGATATCTGAATTCAACTCATAGTCTAGAATAGATAGAGCGGAAACAGATACACAAATGATCAGATTGAGAATAGACAAGAGAATGGTCTCAACAACAAGATGCTCTTTGGTTCTATATTCCAATTAACAAGATCAGATCCGTATTTGAAGGTATCACATCTGGTTAATGTCAAGCAGAGCATCTCACATTCAAAGATACTCAATATTGAACCCAAGTAACCATCTTTATCTCTATTTCTAAAGCAAACTACAAAAAAAGCTCCGTAAAAAATCCCTAAACGCCAAATCCATCTATTTTTTTTTTAGTGTCTCCTTCTTCTTGGTCGCAACAAGGCTCAATGAATACATTCATATATCATCTATCCTCTGGCCATTCTATCTTTCTAGCTCTTGAATTTCTAATTACTTAACTAGCATTATTGGAGAATCTGTCCCTGGCATCAGTGTATACAGAATCTGATTTATGGGATCTCCTTTGTGAACGCCCGGGAGACCTGTCCCTGGCATCATAGTATACAGAGTCAGATTTATGAGAGCTCTGCCCAGGCAACCTGTCCTTGACATCAAAGTATACAGATTCAGATTCAGATTTTTGAGATCTCCTTTGTGAACGGCTGTGATGAGATCTCTCTCGAGTCTCGGTCTCGGATCCGGAATCAGGTTCCTTATCATGGCGTTGACGATCACCACGACTCCGATGATGATCACGTGGAGCTTCCGACCTTGGTTTATAGCTTGCTTCGGATTCAGGGGCTTGGGTTTTGCTCTTACGTCTCTCAGAAGAATAGGCACTTTCCTTGCCTCTCACGGGAAGCTCAGCTTGTTTGCTTCTCCTGGCGCTTTCTGGAATGCGGCTGCTTTGAGGAGTCTCGTACCCATTGTCGACATAGTCACGTCTACTCTCTCTCACGGAATTTGATGCCTTGCTCTCAGCGAAACTTGATGCGGCGGAAGAAATAGAGGCTTCGTATCCGCTGTCTGAGTTTCTGCTTCTACTATCTCGCCCGGTCTGCGCCCTTCGATCTGACTGTTTTGATAGTGGTGCACTTCTATCAGAACTCCGCGCTGTTAGATCTGACGGTGTTGGTGATGCATCTCGTCTTGGATCATCTCGTCTTGGGTCCCCTCGTCTGGGTGCACCTCTATCAGAACTCCGCGCTGTTAGATCTGACGGTGCCGGTGATGCATCTCGTCTTGGACCATCTCGTCTTGGGTCCCCTCGTCTTGGATCATCTCGTCTGGAATCATCTCGTCTGGAATCATCTCGTCTGGAATCATCTCGTCTGGGATCATCTCGCCTGGAATCATCTCGTCTGGGATCATCTCGTCTGGGATCATCTCGCCTGGAATTATCTCCATCCTTGCTTCTACTGGCTCTAGCCTCTGCTTCTGATTTTGGTCTTCGGCGTACAAAAGCGTAATTCCCTTGCTTCTCCTTTCTCTTCTCGTCTAATCTTTCTCTTCTTGCTTTTTCATCCCGTTCCACTGCCTTTCTCTCTCTCTTTAGTTCCATCAGCTCTGGATCACCTCTAGTTTCGATAACATCTTTAGCTAAGCGGAGTTGTCCGAACATGATGGCTTGCTGCTACAAATGGGAATTGGTTGTGTGAAAGATATTATGTTTTTGTAGTGGTATAAAACAGATTTAACGAACGATCTTGATAATATTGCTACTCGCTGAGATGCTTTAAAATGTGTTTATCAATATGATGATTGCGCTGATGAATGTATTGAGTGTGTTGTATATGGAATAATATTTACTATTCAGAATACTCTAGTATATTTATACTCATACTCATGATACACACCTAGGCATCCCAATCATCAATTCCAACCGAAGTCTTATGTTGAAGTCAATATTGATGTCAAATAACTCGTGATGACCTGGTCTCTATTGAAATCTATTGCAACAAACATGCCATTAAGCAGAAATTGGGAGACCGGAGATGATTCACCATGTGGTTGAAGCAGGATTGAGGTTATTTAATTAGGTCATGTTCAAAAACATCAATCATGTATAAGAACATGTTATGGCCAGCCCTAGAGTTTGTCTCTGATGTATTAACGCATGGCGAAGCAAGTTAAATTGGAGACTATTCATTTCCTGGACTGAAATATGGTTGGGCGATGATCAACATGTGTCCTCAAGGGTTGGCCGTCCCGTTAGCGTCTGGTGTCCTCATCAGGATTATGCTACATGATAAGATTACTCGCTTCTTGTAAAGTTAAGATCATCAATCTATTCACATGTTTGATTTTGGGGCTCCTGGTCGCTAAACCCCTTATGAGAGCTAATGGCGCGAAAATCCCACGATTTGAGTTGGGTAATGGCCGGGACTACCACCAACTTTAAGCGCATCGAAACACAACAGTTTACTAAAGGATTATTTTGAAGTATTGAATAAAGTAGACATTGTGAGCTGTAATGCCAATGTGAACCCCTTCCCTCAATTAATGATATTCAATCAGAGTTTTATCGCTACTCATGCCGTAAACGAATCAACCTACAACTCACTTGATTATCACAAAAAGAGGACAACAAAACTTGCTCCAGAGAACTACCAAACCAAATGCATTCCACAAATAATTAAATCTTTGAAACTTAAGGAGAAGAAACCGAACGTACATGAAATGACCACTACACTCACATAATAGAAATATCCCGTTTCCAAACTTTCTTCGCAAGTCAAACCAAAAATCATAGCCGAATCTCCCAGGTATTCTACAAGTTTTACATATCCATATCAAATCAGCCTTCAGTCTCTATTATAAAGTCCACAAATTAAATTCACTCACAAATATTTGTGATGAGTTATACCTCAAACAAACCCCCACAGCTTCTAATACCCTAACAAGCCATCTCGTAAACCCATACCTAAAACTACCCCCATCTTCTCATCCCAAATATTTCAAGCCCATAAATTTCACCCAATACCCAATACCTAGTACATACCTATATCACGGAGCAGAACTACAAAAAAAATCACGACGCCTAGGCAAAAATCCGACCTAAACTAAGCCAACAAACCAAACCAAACTAATACGTATACATAAATCTTTCAAAATCTCAAACCTCAAACCACAGAAAACCCAAATCCTCTCACTCTTCCTCATCCCACAAACCTAAAGACCTAAAAAATTATACCCCCCCTCCCCAAGTAATCACCAAATTACGCATGTAGAGACTTAAAAATTAATAATCATAGGAATATCTCATCTCTATACACCCCTCACTAGAGCTCCATTTGATTATCCATCTACATGATGAGCAATTGAAATTTTCGATCTATGTACCTACATATATGACAAATGAAACATTCTATTCTCGAACTATGAACTATGAAATCATACCGAAACTCTTTGTAACATCATGACTCTCGATATATTACCAAGATCTGCGTCGTACATACACTAACTAACCACTGTAGTACATAGATTGCCTCACAAGCACAACATACAGACAGGAGGAATAGCATTTTAGACTAATCACTCTGTGGTAATATATAATTCCTCAACCGAGACATCTAACTCATAAAAGAATATTATGCTATCTCATATTATCCCCGAATTCTATTGTCTATAATAATCAATGAATCAAAACTTCTTCTACCATGCTATAAATAAAAATTGACTCGAGGTGTATCTGCTTCGCTATGCGTTTACCTAACTACTCGCCCCCCACAGATCACCCCTCACCCTACCCCTACCATACTATCAACTTAATCATTCCCAAACCTACTCCTACTCCTCCAGCAACTTCTTCACTCTCCCAAAAACAACCTTAACACTCTCATTTCTTTCGCCCTCAAGTGCCTCACTCATCCCCTTCATCATCTCACCCCTCACCTCCTCTCTCCCCTCACTCCACATACCAAAAACTCCCGCCTTCCACGCCTCTACAATCATTTCCGCCGCTTCTCCCCTCTTAATTCTAATTCCCTCGCTTCCGGCTCCACTAGCTAATTCCAGTATCTCAAAAAATTGCACGCACATTTTACAATGATTTTCCTTTTGTGCATGAGTCCTCTTTCTCAATCCATCAAATAACACTTTAATACGTTCGTAAAGCGTTGTGCGAGTAGTTATTGTCATGAGAGGTGATTTGAGAAGGGGAGCAAGGGTTTCGATGAGCTTTGAAAGATGAGTAAGAGGTGATGGATCGAGATGTTGAATATTGATACCTCGAAACAAAGCTTCGATACCCGCAGTTATTGTTTCCGATTCCGTAGATTCTCCTCCCTTGCTAACTCCACCTTTCTTTCTGGAATCAGAAGTCGAAATAGTCGTACTCGTATCCATATGATCTTCACTACTCAAATTTTCCAATATAGGTGCGATGATATTATATATCTCATCCCACATATCTATGTCTGTTCTTGTTTCTGCATATTTGCCTAGTTCTGTAAAAGCGAATGGTCGATAGATGTCATTATTACGTTTCGCTTCTCTGATTGCAATCTTCTTTGTCTGAGCTGCGATACTGGATTCGGCATCTAGGAATGCAGTAGATGCCTTTGCAAATTTCACAAAGCTAGCCAGTACAATTTCTTTTCCTGCAAAAGTCTTAAGTGCAAGAGCTTTTTCGAGAGCAGGCCAAATGAGTGCAGATGTTTCGGCAGGAATTGTCGGCGATGTGGTTGAAGTTGTGGACGTGACAACGTCGGCGATAGTTAGAGCGGCTGTATGCTTGATAGTCCATTTGGGAGAATCAATATATTTGAGCACTAACTCATTGATTTCTCTTGTATATAATAAGACCGCTCTGCTTCCCCCTACATTTTCATCCCAAGTTTTTTCAAATTGCTTCTTAGTCGCATCGTCGAAATCATGCTTAGCGAAGAAGACAAAGGGGACTATAATATTCGAAGTCAGCGTTTGATTCAGTCTTAGATTGAACATTCGATCCGAACTGAAAATTGGATCAATTCAGATATTAAAAGAACTATCAAAACTTACGGAAATCGGAAGCCAAAGAGTTAAAATGATCAGTGGCGAATTTGGAAATGGCATAAATCAAATCCGATGATACTTGACGACGAGTTTCATCCTCGGCATTGAAGTAAAGGTCTTGAGAATAGGTGAGAAGTCTGAGAAGTGCTTTATCAGAGGCTAATCGAGAAACATAGCCAGCTGCACGGGCATAAGATGCGCTAACAGCATTATTGCGATCAAGGACAGATTTCTCAAAAATCTTAAGAAAATGGTCGGCGTAAGGGCGAAAGGTGACGCTATGACGAGTTGCGAGACTGACAAGAACACCACCGCAACCAACTTTAGATGGCATACCGACAGTGGTCTTGATAACATTTTCGAGGTGAGGAACAAATTCTTTCATGGTAGGGTCGTCGATTATATCGAGGCAACGTTCGATAGCTTCCATGAGGGGAGATTGAGTAACAGCATTTGTGCGGGCACTATCAATTTTCTCTTCAGTGAGATTGTAATGAGCGGCCCGTAGGTATAGATAGTCAACACCTTCCATTTCCATAATACTCAAAAGACCCAAGAGTCGCTCAACAAGATTAGGTACAAATGGTAGAAGTGCTTTACCGCCACTCTTGATAAGTTTGAGTACGGTAATGGTTGCGAATGTTCGAACTTCTTCGGCTGAACTTTCTAGACCTTGATCTGAAAGTAAAAATGGTAAAACATCTTTCAACATTGCTTGTGCATGTTTTGAAGATGTACCTGCTTCTACTTGTCGGACAAGTATACCAGTAAGAGCCATACTAGAAATCGGAAATCAGCAAGTGTCTATCAAGAAAGGATTCCGAAGAGGCAAATATCTAGAGCAGGGCTTCCAAATATACTCGATACGATTGGAGACCTTGTTCCAGAGTCATGGGAACGGAGGCGAAAAAAGTTGAAGGTAAGACATCCAAAGATCATCATACTTCTCAGAATACGAAAAGCAGATACAACACATACCTAAGAGACAAAGCTGCCTTCCTCACAGACCCCTTGATATCGTCCAGAACTTTGAATGCCACATGCCAAATATCATGAAGATATTTTTCATACTTTTCGAAATCTCTACCCTGTACCAAATCAGCAATGGCAGCACAACTCGCTTCTCTTGTTCGCCATTCTTTTCCTAGAATGCTTTTCAATAGATCTGTTATAATCTCATCAAAATATTGATTAACAGTAGCATTTGAGTCTTTGACCAGCGCACTCCAAATATCATTCATAGAGCGCTGTACATTGGGATTTGGATCAAATCGATATCGGTACAGTTTTGGGTATAATTTGGGATCGATCTCCGATTCTGAGAGAATGTTACTTAAACCAAATCTAAAATTAGAAGGTTAGCGAAGGATCTAGAAATAAAAAAATTTAAGCAAAAAGAATAAAAACAATTACTTACCGACCAAACGCTGCTCTAGTAGACCAAGTAGCCGCATTCGTAGCAAGAGACATA